CTCTTCAGCATCATAGCAACCCTCAAGCCTCCACAGACCAAAGGGTGATGGCTACAGCTGTGCATGAGATACATTGGCCAGGATTGAACCCAGATCTCCCACTTTGAAGGTGAAAATTCTACCTCTGAACCACCACTGTCCCTAGTAACTAGCTTATAAATATGCTAAAATATTTTCTAGTCTTAAAAACACTACCTTTTTCCTATGTCCCCCATCCAGATATTGCTCCATTTCTCTGTCTTCTTTATACCAGAACACCTCAAAAAAGTAGTCTAATTCCAGCTCTTCTCCTCCTATTCTCACTTAGATCTAGTGAAATCAGAGTTTTACTACCACACTCCAATGACGCAGCTCTCATTAAGGTCAGCAGCATCCTCCACATTGCCCAATCCAGCTGTCAGTTCTGCGCTCCATCCTACTGTACCGGAAGTACCCTCTGTGTTTGACATAGTTGGTCACTACATCCTTCTTGAGATACTTTCTTCCCTTGGCAGCTATAACATCACACTCTCTCCTGATTATTTTCCTATCTCACTGCTCCTTTCAGCCTCCTACAGTACAACTCTTTGTCTCCTAAATATTAATCTTCCTAGAGCACAGATCAAGGAGCTCTGGTAGCACAGGGCCTAAGGTATTTGACTGCTAACCAGAAGGTTAGTGGTTCAAACCCCTTAGCCACTCCATGGAGGAAGACTGGGCAATCTACTTCCACAAAGATTTACTGCCTTGGAAACCCAATGAGGGTAACTATGAGTCAGAGTCAACTCAGTGGCAGTGGGTTTAAAGCACATGTCAGGCACGGCACTCCCCCACTGCAAGTCATTTGGTGATTCTTCTTTATGAGAGTGCCAACTTTCGGCAAGAGTTCACAGCCTCCAGGATCTGGCTGCCTGCCTGCCTCTGCTATCTCATCTTGTATGTAAGTGTATGGTGTTTTAGAGAACAGCCCCTCCAACGATGTTTTCTCATCAAATCCTCACGAGATCCCTAGGAATTAAGTGGTTTCTTTTTGCAGATGAGGAAGCTGAAAATCACAGTGCCGGAGGTCCCATGGCTTGTCAGTGTCCTCCATGATCGGTTCTGATTCCAGAGCCTCTGCTCTTTCCATTCCAACCCATTGCCTGACCTGCTTCCTTAAACTCAGTGCTCCTGAGTGAAGCAGGGCAGTGGACATCTGGTTCCTCCTTTTGGGTTCCAGTCATCTGGATTTCCTCTTGAGAGTACAGTGGTTTACACTCTTCACCCCAGGGCCTTGGTAGTCACGTTTGTAGGACAATGGGTGCTCTTACTGGTTGAAATGCTAAGTCTCCCAAAATGAAAGACCAGCTGCAGAGTAGGAAAAGAACAAGGGCTGAATAATTCAACCAGACATCTGTGGGGGCCTCCTGGCATTTAGAGTATGAGTGCCTTAGAGAAACTAACTATTCTGGCCTGAGGGTGTTGGCTGCCGTTAATCCTGGTAGTTTTGACCGCTAACTGCCCCAGAGGTCCCAGGCTGCTGTATGACTCAGAATCCCTAACACTCCCCCTATTCATCTCTTGCTGGGATAGTCAGGAGGCCATTTCTAAGGCATTTTAATTTGGTAATGATGTCTCCTGCCTTTGCCTTTCCTGCTGGGTTCTGGCTTCTGTGTGCCCCAGCTTGCCTGTGTTTCCTCTTCTCCATTGCAGATTACCTGACCCTGGACTGTCCCAGTGCCCTTGTTCTTGAAGCATCTTGTCAAAAGTTGATGGTATGAACTAGAGAGAGGAAGGATGTGGCCAAAGGTTTTCCTGTTGTACATTTGTTTCTGAATTTTCTGTGTTAAGAAGGATGGCTATCATCGGTCCTTCAACTTCTTTGTGAAACTTTTTGGAATCCAGAAAGTTCACAGGAACCCACAGTATAAGGTGCTAAGCAAGCACATGGTGGGGACTGGGAGACAAAGACACATCACTGGGTGCTGGGTTGATTCCAACTCAGCGATTGTATAGGACAGACTAGAACTGCCCCATAAAGTTTCCTAGGTTGTAAATCTTTACGGGAGCAGATTGCTAGGTTTTTCTCCCACAAAGCCACTGGGTAGGTTCAAACCACCAATCTTTTGGTTACCAGCCTAGAGTTTAACCAGGGCTCCTTTGAGAGATGAGGGGACTCAAAATGCCTCACCACTGGTGTACAGATGTACAGACTTTCAAAAAGCCGGATGAAGACTTCTTGGCCTCTTCTAGACCATCTCTGAAGGTGTTGACTGTTTCGGTGCTGTGTCTTGAACTTTGTGTACCTCTATGGTAGCACTTACTGTGAGCCATGCTGGTAATAGTGTAATGTTAAAAGCTCCTGCTCTGGTGTTATAGAGAAATGAGTTCAAATTCAGCATCTACCACTTACTAGCTCTATGACCCTGGATAAGTCTCTGTATTGTTTTTGAGCCTCATGTGTAAATGAAAAATTAATAGCACAGTGCTGTTGAGGAGTAATTGAAAAATCTATAATCTTTTCATCTCTGTGCCTAGTCCAAAAGGAGCTAGTAAGTTCAGTAATTGTACTAAAGTTTATGCAGGTGTGTGCTGCATACTGTCTGTTCGGCAGCATCTGACCACATATGTGCCCGTGGGGTGGGGAGGAGAGGAGTGCTTAGAAGGGCACCGGGAGGCAGGGCTGGAGTTGAGGTTGCCTGGCTGGGCTGCAGCTCTTTTGTTTTTTTTTTTCCTTCTTTAATGCTTTGTGTGTGTGTGTGTGTGTGTGTGTGTGTGTGATTTGGGTGAAGATTTACAGAGCAAATTCGCTTTCCATACAGCAGTTCACATATAGTTTGTCACATGTCATTGACCATAGTTTACCACAATGCAACAGCTCCCCTCCCACTTTCTCCACATAGTTACCTCTTCCCAATGTCCATCCCTCCATGCCCTCCTGCCCCTGAGCTGTCTCCCTGCATAAACATGGGCTGCAGCTCTTGAGCTACGATGCTACAACAGCCAAGCAGCAAGCTGTGTCTCTTGTGGCTCCTGTGGCTGCTGCTGGCAAGTGCCTGCAGGGAGACCTTGAGGCTTCTGACTCAGACTAGACTCCCTAGAGGCTCCTCAGAGAGCGCTGCATGCCCAGAGGTATCCAATTGCAGGTGCAAGTTTGCAATCCTAGAAGCTCCAGGCATTAATATGAGCCAGAACAGGTTGTGAGGGTTTACTTTTAAATGTGTGTATCAAATATATATAAACATATGTACTATATATAATACAGTGTTCATACAATGTTCAAATCACATAACATCCTGTTTCACAGAACATATTGTGGATGTTAAGCAATATATACTTGTGTGTGTGTATGTTTCACTTCTAAAATACAGCGTTTACCTAAGAAAATACTATTATTCTCTTGTTAAAAGCTTTGACTTTGTTTTGCCTACCAAATAAAGTCCAGCACCTTGACATGTCAATCAACATTTGCATTTGTATTTGCATTTCACATTTTTAATTTTATTGGTAGGGAAGGCTTTAAAATAGAGATTTCTAGAAGAAATGGCACATGGGTTTAGATGAGTTTGTCTGAATTCAGTGAGCAGTTAATCTCTCTGTACAAAGCTCTGGGCTAGCCCCATAGGGTCACATGGGTGCAGTAGACGAGACACCCGATAGACAGCGGCATTGTCATTTCTGGCTATCTGGTATAGGTGTCACCCCCACCCCACCAGTCCTCGCAGAAGGCAGCCCTGAGAGAAGGTTTGCCAGAGGGCCCCAGCACAGTGAATGAACTGGGCATTCCAGCGTTGGCAGCTGGCCCAAGGGTGGCGTCGGGGAGGTTGAGAATTGGAACTGGCAGCCAGCCAGGGCTCACTCAGGTGCCTCAGAATGAAGCGCCTCCAGCCTAGCAGTCACTAAGCCCAGTCACTGATTGTATCCTGTCTTCACTTGTGGTTTTCTCTAGGCGGTATAGGGCAGTCTTCGGTGGAAGGGCAGTGACCCCAGTCCCACACTGAACACATAAGATATTGAAACCCAGAGACACGAAGTAACATGACTGTAGTCACACAGCAACAAAGCAAGAGCTAGAACACAAGTCTTCTGAACAGTATTCAGCAGTCTTCCCTGTGGGTTCCTGAGATAGTCCTGTCAGCAAGTCAGGGTGCAGTGAAACAGACTGTCAGGGCTGTGCTGTTCTTTCAGAAAGTGATAGGGCTCTTCTGAGTGCCTATCTCTGACAAGGTACTGAGGTACACAATTAAATCAGACCGACTCTGACCTCAGGAATTGACAATATAATAAGTAGACATACTACCAACAATTACAGTAGTGTACTAAGTGCTGATGGGGGTAATAAGTGTGTGGTGTGGGGGATGGGGGGACATAGAAGCAGAGAGGAGGCATTTGGCCCAGTCTGGGGGTCAGGGAAGAAATGCCAGTGAAGTTGACCTCTAAGTTTAGCAGGCATTAGCCAGATGGAGGACAAAGAAGAACTATCCAGGCAGAGAAACAAAGCAGAACATCCTCAGTTAAATGTCTAATAGTTATATTAATAGCTGCAGTAATATACAAACCTTGTATCTATATTCAGGGCACTATGAGTAGTTCCACCTGGTTGGATCATAGTTTGTCAGGAAAGAATAGAAGCTGACGAAGCTGCGTGTGTAGGAACATACCAGCCTCATCAGGATATTACCAAAGCCTGAGCACCTCTCTCCTGTAAGTCTCCAAGCTCTATCTCCCCATCTCGGAGTCTGGATGGAGTTCCTGATTGCTTTGGTATCAGGCTTGCTACAAATAATCTATGTGAGCCCCAGTGAGTTCCTTTTACCAAATTTTGCTGAGGAGCTTTGCTTACTTATCTCTCTATTCCTCTAGGGTTTTTTTTTTAAATTATTATTATTCAAACATTGGTGTGGAAAAGGCCTAAAGTACTGATTATAGGTAATAAGCTTTATTTAAGATTTAAACACCTACAACTCTTTATGAATTAGTAATCCACTGAATGTGCAGTGCCTTGCAAGCTGTGACTTTCCTTCTTTTCTTTCTTTGTTTAGGCCTGCTGAGTTAGCCACCAAGTATGCAAACTTTTCAGAGGGAGTTTGTAAGCCCGGCTATGCTTCAGCCTTGATGACTGCCATCTTCCCCCGGTAAGTGCTACTGTTTCCTTCTACTGCCTAGGTAGGCTGGTCCAGGGTCAGGAATGAGAAACCCTGGGCTTCATCGCAAGTGATATTCTCCTGAGAAAACTGAGTCTGTTGTAACTTCCTACCTCTGTCCTGGAGTCTAGGACAGATGCCTGGAAAGCGTTTTGCTTTTAGTTGTTCCTGTCCCAGTTCTGCTGTCTGCTCCTCTCCACCTGCTCCTTAGCCCTGCCTCTTAGAGCTGGCATCTCCTGCACAACATGTTTCTATGTATGGGGAGGGAGGAGATAGAAACCTAGATGGTTACCCCATGGATGCCAGTTATCTATAGGCAGCTAGAGCAGGCTGCCCAGCACAGAAACTCCAAGTCATACTAACAGTGTCCAAACTTTTTTGGAAGCTGAGGACCAAGTAGCTGATTCAGGGATGCCTATCCAAATAAAGCAAGGAACAAAGAGGACTTTCTGAAGCTGTCTGAATTTTAGCACCTTTGCTCTTAGCCATTTTGCATTCTGGAGTTCCTGATTTTCTTGATATTAGGTTTACTGCAAAGAATCTGTGCCCAAACCAGGGAGTTACTTTTACCAAATTCTGTTGAAGGGCCTGCCTTTATCTACCTTTTCCTTTTAGGGTTTTATTTTCCTAAAGTCTTGATGTGAAAAAGGGCCTTAAATGCTGAGATTGTCTTGTCTGCAACCTGGAGTACAGTTAGACTATCAGCGTCATTTTATTCCTTTAGAAAGTTACAGGAGCTTTTGTGTCTGACTTGGAGTGGCTGGAGAAAAGGTTGCTTGGGACCCTCTGTGAGTTGGGAGATAGCACTTGGACCACCAGGAGCTGTGAATCCCTACAGTCAGCCTCTGGTGTTGGGCTCTGCTCACTGAATAGAAGACTTGCTTCCCATCCCTTAGAAGGCTAAAGTTAGGGCACCTAATGTACTTGCAAAGGAATGCTGAGAAGCAGCTTGCCCAAATGTAAGTCCAGGATATTTGGTTTTTACATCCTGTTCTTTTTCAAAGTTGAGCAATCCAAACTTTGCTCCTTGTGTAAAATCAGGGACTATATTAGTTGATAGGAGCTCTGGTAGCGTAGTGCCTAAGGCACTTGACGCTAACAAGAAGGCTGGTGGTTCAAACCCACCAGCCACTCTTCAGAAGGAAGGTTGGGCAATCTACTTCTGTAGTGATATCACCTTGGAAACCCAAGGAGGGGTTGTTATGAGTTGGGTCCGACTTGACGGCTCATAACAACATACTAGTTGATTATCTGATGTTCAAATAGAGATTTCTTTGTGTAGGGTCTGCCTTCTGAATTGACTCCAGATATTTTGCTTCCCCCACCTGTTTACTGAGCACCTCTAGAGTGTCAGGATGTTTTCTCAGACTTACATAGTCAGTCCTCTGGGCCAGAAACCTGGGAATTTTCTTTGACCTGTTTATAAAAAACAAAAGCCAAACTCACTTCCATTGAGTTGATTCTGACTCTTAATAACCCCCTTTGGGTTTCCGAGGTGATAAATCTTTACTGAAGTAGATTGCCCAATCTTCCTTCTGTGGAGTGGCTTGTGGGTTTGAACTACCAACCTTCCGGTTAGCAGTTAAATCCCTTAGGCACTACGCCACCAGAGCTCCTTTGACCTGTATGTAAGTTTCTTTTATTTTTCCTAATTGAAAGTTATATAAGCATGTGGTTAAAACCAACAAAACTCAAACAGTACAAAGAATATATATTCCTACCCCAGAACCTTTCCTTAGAGACAGCCAATACTACCATTAATGGGAACACATTATATTTATTGTCTGTACCTTGCTTTTTTTTGTTATTGTTGTATTCATTTTAATAGCATCTGATGCATCATGAGATAGAATATGGTCTATCTTGGTGAATGTTCTCTGTGTACTTTAAAAGAGAGTATTTCTGCTGTTACTGGATATTCTGTTAGTGTCCATTAGGTTGCCTGACAGTGTTTTTGAAGTCTTCTCTATCCTTACTGATATTGTGTCCACTTGTTCTATCAATTACAGAAAGAGGGGTGCTCAAATCCCTATCTGTCAGTTTTTGTTTTGTGTATTTTGAAGCTCTGTTATTTGGTGCATATATATTTAGAATTGTTGTATTCCCTTGCTGATTAGATTCATTCATTATTGTGAAATGCCCCTGTTCATCCCTGATAATAATCCGTGTTTTGAAATCTTGTTGTCTTCTATTCATATAAGCAGTGCAACTTTCTTTTGATTAGCTTCATCATGGTATATGTTTTTCTATCCTGATACTTTTAACCTATTTATATGGGTTTTTTTTTTTTTTTGGTCATACATTTTACATCTACATGTTTTATAAACCCATACAACTTTGTTTTTATTTATTTATTTTTAAACAGTCAAATATTATTTAAAGCAATTTAAAAGAGTGGAAGAGACTTTTGTATTTACTCATAAATTTATTTTTACTGTTTATCTTTTCATTTTTGTGTAGATACATATTTCCATTTTGTTTTTGTTTCTGCCAGAAGAACTTTATTTTAACATTAGTTGTATAGGCAATAAAGTTCCACTAGCTTTGGTTTGTAAGGAGGAAAAAAAAGCTCATTTTTACTTCAGTTTTGAAAAGTTTTTTGGTAGATATGCAATTCTAGGTTGATAAGTTGGTCCCACCTTATACTTGGAATATGTAGCTCTTTTTTTTTTTTTTTTTCCTTTGTTTTGGCTTACATAAAAAAAGTTTTGTCTTTCTTATCTTTGTTCCTTTGTGTGTAATGTCCTTTAGCTGTTCTTTGAGATTTTCTCTTTATCATAGGTTTTTAGCAATTTGATTATGATACACCTTATTATGGTTTTCTTTATATTTATTTAGCTTAGGGTTAATTGAGCTCATTAAGCCACCTGTGGACTCATAGTTTTTATCTATGAGTTGAATTTTTTTTTCTTATTTCTTCAAATATTTTTTTGCCCAACCCCCTCCAATATTCCAGTTACCTGTATGTCATACCACTTGTCCCACAAGGCATTGATGCTCTAAGTTTATTTTTTCATTTTTCAATCTTATTTCTGTCTGTACTTCATTTTGGATAATTAATATTATTATGTCTTCATTTTCTTTTTTTTTTATTATTATTGTGATTTGGGTGAAGATTTACAGAGCAAATTCACTTTCCATACAGCAGTTTACATATACTTTGTCTCATGACATTGACCACAGTTT